TCTCCGACTCAGCCGGCCGCCGGACTGCTGGGCTGCGGGCACCAGGTGAGAGCCGGACGCTGGGAAGCGGAGGAGGCGGGGTGCAGGTCCTCTCCAGCGACCTCCCCTCCTCTCCCTCTCTGCATCCCTGAACACGCTCGCACAAAATATCGCAGAGAGGCATCTCCGGTCGCCACTGCGCCAGAGTTTTTTTGGTATGCTTTTGTTTTTGGTTTTTTCCCCTGGCAAACAGCCGGAGAATGAGACAGTCAGCAGCTCAGAGAGGCTGAGAGAAGCGGTTTTTGAGTTCTGCCCAAACTGGGAGAGTACCTTTCAGCAACTGGACTCACTGACTGGTTTTTCTTTATTTTCAGTGAAATCCTATTCTCTGGCTGGAGACGCAGATGGCCTCAAATGAGAGAGATGCTATATCGTGGTACCAAAAGAAGGTAATCTCAATGTATTTTTATTTGTAAAGCATGCTTCCTGGAAAAAAGCTCCCACAAAGAACACCTATCGTGTTAGTTTTCCCTGAGCTCGGTAGTACAGGTGTTCTTACAAGGTATCTCTCAACATACATGGGAAAACTGATGTTTAAGGTCAGTAGGTCTTTTAAACTCAGTTTCAGGCCTCTGAATAAGATTTTCAAATTACCTCCCATCTCCAGGCTGCATTCACAGTGTCACAGCAATGCTTTGAAAGTTTGTTTCTGATCAAACTGCTGTTTTTCTAGACATAAAACTTTTATCTGCACAGCTCCAATTGCTACTGTCAACAACCTTACTGAGCTGTCCATTACCTTTTATTTCTCTCAGTTTCCTACTGGTGCTTTTCTTGTAAGAAGTGGAAATATCTTTTAAGGTGATACTTAATTTGAAATATTTTGGACATTGCTTTTTTAACTTAGGCTTAGATGCAGCTAAACCTTCCAGAATTTGGAAGGAAATTGTCCTTGGAAATAATAATTTATTCCAGCCTCAGAGAAGCACAAACATTTCCCAGATATCATATTGATACCTAATAGTTTGATTACGTTTGTGAGACTTGACCTAAATAAAAACATTGCCTTTGCATCATTTAAATGGCCTTCTTCCTATTTCAGATTGGAGCATATGATCAGCAGATATGGGAAAAGTCAATCGAACAGACTCAAATTAAGGTAAATTGATTAATTTTTAGCTTTGTTTTACTTCATTAATGTGAAAAGTAGATTGTACTTACTTTAAAAAAAATCTGCACTTATCCACCAAGTGTGGTGTTCTTTATTCTTTGAAATTTATAAGGAAAACAACACTGCAAGCGGAATGATATATGACAATTGACATTTGGCCTCGGTATCAGGGAAATAGAAAGGAGTTGGTCTATGATGAATTTGAAAGCAAATGTCCTAAATAAATGGTGCTATGGCTGTTTAACTCTGGTGGTTTTGCTTTGTGGTAACGCAAACTTAGTGTTGTCAGAGCTTCATTCAAAGTTTTCAAGAGAAGCTGTGAATATGCATTTTTATGTAAAATATCCAGGTATTTTGAGCATCTCCCTCTTCTCCCCCTCCTCCTCCTCCCTCTCCCTCACCTCCCCCTTCACCACATTCCCCCACCTCTTCTTTCTCTTTTTCTTCCTGTGCAAGGCAAACAAAATCCATTTGTTGCCTGAATCACTTTTTCAATTACTGATGTAGAGTATGGCTTAAATTTTTTCCAGTTCTTAAACTTTTCCTATACTGCTCTTAGAACTGAGCAGATTCTTGAGTTATTTCATGCTAATCAAGCAACCAAAAATTGATGTGTGATTCAGAATGCCAGTGTATTAATTTATAATAGGGAGAGGAGGGTTAAATAATGTTCCATAGTTGGTGTTGTGGGATCAACATGTATTGATGGGGAAGGTGGTGCAAAGTAGTCATGGAAAGGTTGTGTGGTAGCCAAATGTAATTGTACAATCTTGAGAGATGTGGAAAAGCCTAAAAACCATCCTACCCCTACAGAATGTCTTTCTATTGACCTTAATACTTGGATCAACAGATTCAGGGTCTTACCTCCATGGAAATTACTGAATAGTGACTGGCAGATTCTTGTTTTGGGACCTGTCTTTTTTAAAGATTTTCTTCAGACCCTCTATTAACATTTAAATAAAAATATGTACATATAAGTGTAATACAACTTAATATTTGTTCTATTTATCTCCAAGTCAGATTGATTAGACTGGAACGTTTAAATCTTTGGTGAAATAGGGTGCATTCTTTTTTTATGTATTTATTTTACAATGTCATATTTTTAAAATTGAAGTATAGTTGATGTACAATATTATATGTTACAGGTATACAGTATAATGATTCACACATTTTTAAAGGTTAATAATTCCATTTATAGTTATTATAAAATATTGGCTGTATTCCCCATGTTGTACAATGCATCCTTGTAGCTTATTTTATACCTGATAGTTTGCACCTCTTAATCTTCCACCTCCACCTTGCCCCTCCCCTGTCTCTCCCGCCGACCTGGGAACCACTAGTTCCTTCTCTACCTCTGTGAGTCTGTTTCTTTTCTGTTATATTCACTAGTTTGTTTAGATTCCAAATGTAAGTGATATCTTACAGGATTTGTCTTTCTCTGACTTATTTCACTTAGCTTAATGAAGGGTGCATTCTTTTTATGGGCCAATCAATTAGAAAGTTGTTTCTACTACATGGTACTTGAGCTAACTTTTCACAGTTCTGTACAGTCCTTGATGTTTTATATTAATAGAAGATGGGGTCAGGATGAATAAATGCCCAAATTTTACTTTGTAACTCTCTGAATCCTGTCCTGTTATTCTTTTGTGAGCTCTAAAAAGTATTGATAGTAAATATGGTATAATGAAAAATGCACAGACCTGGGAGTTGGATTTCTTGTGATCTTTGTCTCCAGCCTTGTGATCTTGAACCAGCACCGTAGTGTGTCTGGGTTTGGGTTTAGTTATCCTTAGAAGGATTTTACTTCTTGCTGTAAAATTTCCTTACCAACTGCCTTCCCCCACCCAATTTAATTATTTCCTAAACCTTTTTGTCCAGGCAATTTTATACAGACCTTCGTGTTAGTACACCATATCAAAGTTACTTGTTAACCTGGGTATCTTCATAGCCCTCAACGGCAGGAATTGCATTTGCATCCCACTCTTAGAGCATCTTGATTCATACTAGGAACTCGGTGTCACTGTAGTTAATTGAACCTCATCTATTATTTATATTTTTATTCATTGTTCTCTCATAGGAGAATCTACCTAACAACTCCTTAAGGTATACTTTTTAATTTGACAGCAGTGGAAACAGTAAAATTAAAGACAACTGTAAAAATTTACCGAGTTAATGTGCCAACATGTCCTAGGTGCAAAGGATACAGTTATTAACATAGACATGGGTCTTACTTTCATGAATTTCACAGTGTAATGGTGATGGGAGAAAGGCAAAGATACCGTTTTAAATTTTAACAAAAATTGACCAAAGTATAGACTCCATAGAAGTATTTGATGCAATTTAAAAAAAAATTACACAAATGTAAATATTTTTTAAAACAAATTTAAAACAAGGAAAAAAAGAAAACATGAAACAACCCCCCCAAAAAAACACAACACTAACACCAGATCATAGCACAATAAAATTAGAAATTACATAATAAAAACACTCAAAATTGTAAAAAAAATAAAAATAAAAAAAATAAAAAAATCTTAACTTGGATCATGAAAAGTGATATGAACTGTTTTATGAACATTTATTGAGCTATTATGTTTAAGACCTTTTGCTAGGTGCTGGGCACAAGAGGAATGGTATTTACAGAGTACGCTTGTTTAAGGGAAGAGCAAGTAGCTTAATCTGAGTGGAGTGTAAGGTATGTAGATGAGATGATAGGCCATAAATCAGTTTGGAGCTGAGTTGACTGCTTTCCTAAGAACTTTAGATACTGTTCTGTAGGAAATGGAAAATTTTTATAGTTTTTGAGTAGAGAGGCCACATCAAATCTGTATTTTTGAAGGATAGAAATAAAAATAATAGATGCAACAAAATCTATGGAATGTTTCTAAAGTAATATTTGATTAAATATCATTCTGTATGTCTGTATTAACAAAAAATGTCTAGATTAACTAGGAAGAAAGAGTTACAGTGATTCAAGTTAATATACGAAGAATCTAGAGAAAGAAGACAGTCAGAGTAAAGAAGGGAAGAAATACCAAAAATAAAACTAAAGCAGTCATTATATATTCTTCATTTAACAAATATTTATTGAGCACCTGTCTACCATTTGTCAGGCAGTAGGCTAGGCACTATGTCCATATAGCAGTGAAAAGATACATTTTTTTTTCATGGAACTACGATAAAGTGGGAAAGAAACAATAAATTCTACTAATGAATAAAAATTACTTTGGATAAATACTAAGAAGGAGAGCTGTTGCTTGCAAGCTATTATGCTTATAATAAAGGAAATGGACCTAGTGAAGGAGGTCAGAGAAGCCTTCCTTAAAGAACTGATGCTTCAAATAAGATCCGAAGGATAAGTTGCAATTAACTAGGTCAAGAACTAATATAGTAATTCTACACAAACTCTTTCAGAAAACAGAGAAGGACGTGTACTTCCCAACTCATTTTATGATACTAGTATTACCCTGATTCCAAAGCCAGACAAAGATAACAGAAGAAAATTTGTCATAGCTCTACAACAAAGCTGGGTAAAGAAGATGTATATATACACACACACATATATATACAATGGAGCCACATACTCAGCCATAAAAAGAATGAAATCTTACCATTTGTGACAACATGGATGGACCTAGGGGGTATTATCCTAAGTGAAATAAGTCAGACAGAGAAAGAAACACTGTATGATTTCGCTTATATGTGGAATCTAGAAAACAAAACAGATGCGCAAACATAATAAAACTGAAACAGAGTTATAGATACAAAGAACAAACAGGTGGTGCCAGAGCAGAGGAGGGGTGGGTGCAAGAAATAAGTTAGGGGAGATTAAGCAATACAAACTTCCAGATGCAAAATAAATGAGTCACGAGTATGAAATGTACAGTCTGGGGAATATAGTCAATAATTATGTAATATCTGTGTATGATGACTAGACTTATCTTGGTGAGCATTTTGAAGTGTATAGAAACATGGAATCGCTATTTTATATAACAGGAACTAACATACTGTTGTAGGTCAATTATATTTCAAAAGCAAACTAACTCATAGAAAAAAGGATCAGATTTGTGGTTACCACAGGTTGAGGGGCAGGGAGAATTGGATGAAGACAGTCAAAAGGCACAAAATTCCTGTTATAAGATAAATAAATACTAGGGATGTAACGTACAACATGACAAATATAATTAACATAGCTGTATGTTATATATGAAATTTGTTAAGAGAGTCAAGCCTAAGAGTTCTCATCACAAGGACAAATTTTTTTTCTATTTCTTTAATTTTATATCAATATGAGATGATGGATGTTCAGTAAACTTATTGTAGTAATCATTTCATGGTATATGTAAGTCAAATCTTTATGCTCTGTACCTTAAACCTACACAGTATTGTATGTCAATGATTTCTCGGTAAAACTGGAAGAAAAAAGTCTTACCTGAGTCATAATATGGAGCTTTTAATAAACTATCATACTGACCATTAAGAAAAAAGACAATTTGTCATAAACAGAAGTTAAAAATTTTGAATTCAACAACATATAAAATGGGTTATCTACTGTGACCAAGTGGGATTTATCCTAGGAATGTGACATTGGTTTAATATTGGAAAATAATGTAATATATTAATAGAATAAAGGACAAAACCACATGATCTTCTCAGTTGAGAGAGAAAAAGCATTTGACAAAATTAAATGCCCATTAATGAGAAACTAGAAATAGTAATTTCCACAAACTGTCAAAGGGTGTCTATTAAAAACCTACAGCTAACACTGTATTTAGGAATTAAACTGAGTGCTTTGCCCCTCAAATCAGGAACACAGCAAAGATGTCTGCTCTCGCTGCATCTGTTTAACATTTTACTACAGATTCTAGCCAGTGCAATAAGGCAAGGAAAAGAAATAAAAATCATTGAGATGGAAAAGAAAATTGCCTTGATTCATGATGACACGATTCTGTATTTAGAAAATCCAAGGGCATTACTAATATAAATAAATG